GGAGGATGAGGTTAGAAAGTTCATTCAAGATCTTAAAAGGGATAGTTTTGGCTCTTCAACTACATCTCGTTATGATTCTTATTCTTCATCTCGTTACGATCATGATGATACTTATTCTTCATCTCGTAGTGCCTCATATAATAAACCATCTTCTACTCCATCAACATCTAGTTCAGTATATACCTCTGTAATTAGTGCTACTCCTAGTTCAATGTCTAAGTCTAAATCGCCCGAAGAACGTGCCGCTTTTATTAAAGCAGAAGGTGAGCGTAGAGTAGCAGAAAAGCTAAAAGCTCTGGGTATTAAATCTACAAGTTATTCGAAATCAGCTCCATCATCGGCTCCTGATTCACCTACTTTATCGGATCGTTTAGCGCATGAAAAGGCTGATGCGGCCGAAAGAAAAGCTCGTGCAGAACGTGAGATAGAGGAACGGGAACGTATAAGATCCGAAAAACTTTTAGCGGAGAAGCAAAGAAAAGCGGAACTAGATGCTGAAAAAGTACGTAAAATGAAAGAATTTGAAAGTAGAGAAGAGGAAAGAAGAAATCAATGGTTAGAAGATGCGAAAGAACTCGAAAAGGCTAAAGGAAGGAAAGCTCGTGAAAAAGAAGAGGCTGCACGTGCTAGAGAATTAGAATTAGAACGTAAAAGGATCGAAGCGGCTGAAAGAGAGAAAAAGCTTGAAGAGGAAAGGTTAGCACGTATTAAGAGAGAAGCTGAAGAACGTGCCGCAGAGGACGAACGTATAAGGAAAGAACAAGAAGCGTTAATAGAAAATTCTAAAGCAGCCAGAGAAAAGGCAAGGAAAATGGAGGAAGAAGCTAAACAGCGTGAAGATGCTACTAAACTTGAAAGCGAAAGATTAAGACAAAAGAGAGAAGATTCTATGTGGTCGGTTAAATCTTCTGATAATGATTCACATACATCATCGGTTGCAGAATCTGTGAACAATAATCCATTTTTGAAATTCAGTTCTCAAGAACAAAAAAGCAGCAATACCAATGATAATAATACTATAGAGAATACTAATCCGTTTTTTAAGTTCACTTCTGGTTCAACTGCACAATCCGATGTACAATTGTCACCAAAAGAAAAACCGGATGATGATGATGATTGGAATGTTGTTAATAATGAAGAAGAAAGTAGTGATGATGATTTTCCTTCTTCAAGTGCAAGGGATCTTGCATCCAAGCTGTTTGGTGGTTCTTCTTTTAATCCTCCAAATTTTGAATCATCGAATGTAACTTCGACAACTATAACTGCCAAAGCAGATTCTATCCCGGCACCGCCACCGCCACCACCACCACCACCTTCATCTGACACTGTTCCATCACCACCGCCACTTTCAAATACAATCTCTGTTCCACCGCCACCACCATTTCCTTCTGGTTCAAATACCATTCCACCTCCACCGCCATTACCTACTACTTCAACTTCAGTTCCACCACCACCGCCACCACCACAACAACAACCATTATCTTCCAGCAATCAATCACAAACATCTTTGCCTCCACCCTCTGGTGCACGAAACGCTTTGTTAAGCCAAATCCAACAGGGAACGAGGTTGAAGCCCACGAAGACTAACGATCGATCTGCGCCTATAAGTTCGGGTAAATAATCGTGATTTCACTTAAAGTTTAAAAGAATTATATTTGTATTAAACCATATTGCAAAATCTATATCATAAAATAGGTAGAACTAGCTCTCCTGCACAAAGCTCTTCTGGTGGCGTATCTCAACCGTCTGATGATAGGGCTGGCATGGCTGGCATTGCTGCCTTATTAGCATCTGGAATACCTAATCTAAAGAGTCGTGGAGGAGTTGAAACTGGGCGTTCAGCCACAGGAGGATCTGCATCGAAATCTTCCCCTCCTTCTCGCCAAAAAACTATGGGAAGAATCGATCGAAGAGTGTCGGCAGATTGGTTTGGTAATTTATCATCAGATCAACTTGCTGGTGAAGTGACCCCAAAACCACAAACATCCGGTAGCGAAGAAGATATCTTTGCACTAGTTACATCACCGACTTCAGCATCAGGAGATAATGATATCGATCGCTCACAAGAATTTCGGGTCAAATCACTTCATCCTTATCTTGGTACCGGTGCTCCAGATGAACTTAAATTTGAGGCCGGAATTGTTTTTGTTGCTAATCCATCTAAAGATCCAGGTAACTCAGAATGGTGGCATGGTTATATCGAACAGACTGGGTTAAAGGGATGGTTTCCCAAAAATCATGTTGAGATCTATAAAGAAGGCAATTATTTTTACTATTTCAATTTTTCATGCATATTTTTCATTACCGAATCATTTTCTAACGATGATTTAAATGTTTTTAATCAACTTATAGAAAAAGAAATTTGTAAAGCTAAAGTATTGTTTGATTACAAAGCTCAATCCATTGAACAACTTGATATTCAGTCTGGTAACATTATTTCCATTCTCGACAAGTCTTTTGGTGACTGGTGGAAAGCAGAGTTTGAAGGCTCTAAGGGAATTATTCCTGCGAATTATGTCGAAGAAATTACTAGTAGTAGCGGTTAGTGTTTGATTTTAATATTGTTGGAAATTTTTTTTTTTTTTTTTTAATATATAGCGATGTGTGTGTGTGTGTGTGTTAAATCTTCCCGTACTACTTTATTTATTACTTCTTGTTACATATTTATTATGAATTCAAAGGAACAAAATTTATAGAACTTTAAAATATTATATATCTGTTAAATAAAATTCAATGTAATAATGATAATTATGTGCCTTTTTTAAAAATAATGAAAATAATCTTTTACATTTTTATTTTTATTTTATTTTTATTATCTTTTTTCTTAATTTATTTTTTTGTCACGCATATAATGGTTCACAACATAGTTCTTGACAAAACGATTACAGTTGAATCAAATGAATCAAATGAAGATTATTCCATTGAAGAAGATGATAGTTCAAAACAGGATAAAGCGGATACCATTTCTAAAAATCATGATATTAATTCAAAAACGAATATTATCTATAATTCTATACAAGAAGACTCATCAATTAACACTGTTACAAAGGTTTTGCCTATCGACATTCCGAGAGTCAATATTCAAAGTGTAAATTCACCAACTACGAGTTCATTTGCTATAAAATCGATGCTTAAACTTAATGTTAGTAATTTAACTAGAAAACCAAGTCTTGAAATTAATAGGAGTCCAAGTCCTACGAAATTATTTGGGACGAGTCCAATTACATTTATTCCTTGGATGCAATTAGGCGAAGCTAATAAAAATCATAATGCTTCATATTTAACAGTTTCCTCACCTAATTCACTGAGATCAGAAAGTTCCATGTCATCCGTACAAGTATGTGAAACATCATCTGTATTTCTTTTCACGTACCTACTTATATTTAATAATATTAAATTCTTTTTCAAAGCGACCTTCTTCTATAACATGGTCAAGTATTATGGATCCTGAAAAGCTTGAAGATATATCAAAAGAAGAACGTAAAAGACAAGAAGCAATTTATGAATTAATAACAACAGAGCAAAGTTACCTTCGAGATCTTCAGATGATAGTTGATATATTTTATGAACCTTTACAAGTTATGTTATCTTCAGAAGAATTAAATACTATATTTTCAAATATTGAGGAGATATTACTTTGCAATACGGAAATACTAAGCGACTTGGAGCAAAGACAAAAAGATGATGAATTTTTTGTTGATAACGTTGGGGATATACTCTTAAAACATTCCGAAGGGTTAAAATGTTATAAAACATATTGTGGTAATCAATTAAATGCAAGTAAATTTTTACAAAAGAAACGGAGTGAAGATAAAAGATTTGAAGAATTTCTCAAGGTAAAAAATAAATGCTTAATGTTTTGATGTATCATGCTTACTTAATGTATTATAAATAAAAATTTTAGAAAGCTCAGCAAAATCCTCAATGCGGGTCATTGGATTTATCAAGCTTTTTGTTGAAGCCTATGCAAAGGATAACAAGATATCCCTTATTGATACGCCAGGTAATAACCTTTTGTATGTTTTCCTTTTTATCATGAGTTTCCCATCTCTTATCTTTCTTTCTTTCCCTTAATTAGATATTACATTACACTAGCAAAAACTATTTAGATCACGAAGATATGATGCAAGCTTTACATCAAGCCGAGGCAATTTTAGAGGATACTAATGAAGCAGCGCGTGAACAAGAAAATCAGCTTAAACTAGCGGAAATTTCAAAATTAGTGGATCTTGAAGACCTAGATGAGGTAAAATAAAAATGAAGAATTTTCTTTTTCTTTAATAAATTAGTTAAACATTTTCTTTTTACTATAAAGAAATTGGATTTGATGAGTACAACTCGATTAGTTGGAAAAAGGCAATTTATTCTTGAGGGACCTCTTAGAAAGGCGAAAAGTGGTAGACATTTATATGGATTTTTGTTCAATGACTTGTTGATACTTGCACAACATAATAAAAAAGCCGTTGCACGAGGACATCAATATGCATTATACAAACCACCAATACCTTTGAACGAAATATTTGTAAAAGATGGTCACGGTTAGTCGTATATTTAGACGTTGACCGTAATCATAACAATAACATTGATGATATTTTGATCAATCTCCAGATGAAACCTTTCAGGTTGTTCATATTGAGGATATTATCAACCTTAAAGCAAACAATGTCTCCGTAAAGCGACAATGGGTTAATCAACTTGAAACAGCAAGTGATTATTGTTTAACCATCGAAAGGCAAAATCAAAAGAAGGGTATAATTTCAATCGTTTGAACTTTTGTATGACTATAACGTGTTGTTATTAATAAATTTTGTATGTCATAGAAAGTGATTTAACTCAATTCGATGCGATAAGTGGTACTTTGAGAGTACTGGTATATGAGGGTACTTTACCGGTTGAATCACATGGTAAAAAATCTAACAAATATATATACTTATTTTTTTTATAAATCATAAATTTTGATTTTGATTTCTTTTTGTAAGTAGTTGGTAAAGATAAAAATGTTGTGAATACATATTGTCAAGTACAATTAAATAGGCAAGTTTTTAAAACAAAAGTCGTAAAAGATGATATATTTCCTCGTTGGAATCAGGTAATTAAAGGTTATAATGTATAATCATATTTTATGTTTATGATAATTTATTTTAAAGGATAAATTTTATAATTCTAGCATTTAATGTTTTCGGTTACAACTTTGGAAGATACATTAAAATTATCAGTATTTCAGTATGATAAATATACACAGGATGGTAAGTATCGAGTAATTTGTTCTTATCACTTTTAAATTTTTGTTAACTGTATTTTTTATTTGCTCGTTTAATATAGAATATTTGGGAAAAGCTGAAATAAAATTGAGTTTTCTTGAGCATTATGGAGATAACGAAACTGATAAACTTATCTATCAATTAAAAGATGTAGCACCGGACAAGCCTTTTGGTTCTATATCTGTATACTTAAGTTATAAAGCAATATAATTTTTTTAAAATTTTACTTTTTTAATTAATTAAATTAATTTTTCTTACTAGCAAATAATTTTTGCATCAGAATTTTTTTCGCTTTTTTTTTTTTTTTTACGCGTTTTAATTTTAAATTATTTAATTTACTTTAATAATTTAATTTATTATTTATTATTATTTATATATTTATTGTTCACGGAATCACGAATTTTATTCATTAAACATTTTATTAGACAAACAAAATTTGCAATAGATAATAAATCATTTGGGGCGGTTTGCTATTAATATCATGTAATTCAATTTTAATTGCACAACAACTCATTTCATTTTAACAAGTGACAATTGGCTTACGTTTTCGAAAACCTTTCAAAACGTAATATAAAGAAGAATTATGAAATATTCTGCTATCATGAGTTGAGTCAGGATATCCAACAAAAATATCAATAAATTTTCTATATGAATCTATAACTGTTTACAATAAATCCTTTTCTATTTAATAATTTATAGAAAATCTGTTCGTGCTTTGATATGTGGCTTCCATCAATTGCTCCGATTACATATGGGATACCATCTTAATATTTCAGTAACGAGACATTACGTTGGATAAAATTATATGATGATTTAAAAAGGGTAAGTGAACAAATAACGTTTATGTAAATAATATATTTAAATTTAACTTATTTGTTTGAATATTATTGAATGAATTAGGATGTTAGGCGGTCCTTAACCGGGTCCTAAGGACCGGTCCTATACTTAAATTGCCAATTTTAAATATCCATTTTCGCTTTTTACCAATTAATTATAATATATTTATGACATTTTTGATGGGGGTTACTAATTATAGACAAGTGATTAGACTTCTCTTAGAGATAGTAATCTCTTAAATCGTGAGGACACGGTCCTAAATCCTAAAATTTTAAATTTTAAGAAATTCTGAGATTCCAAGAGGGGTTTATTATTTATTTACATTAAGTAACTCATTAAAACATTATAATAGACAAGTTTAATAATAAATTTGCAAAAATAATAATTCTTTGTAATTTACTTGGGACTCTTAGGACCGCTAAATATCCCTAGAATAAATATATTAATAAGTTTTCATTAATATCATTATGAATTCTAGCAATAAGTAATAGTTACTCGGCACTACTGTTTTATCGGTTTACACAAAATAATTTAATTTAAAAACTTTATTAGACTATTTTTTAGCTTTATTAAACCATTTTTCATAAGAACAAATGATATTTCTTTTTTTTTATGCATTTTGTTTTTCCCAAAAAAATTTTTTTTCATTTGATAATATAAATGACACAAAATATTTTATCCAAAGGTAATCAATTACCCTCTCTTGAACAACTATCAGCACTTGTGAAAGATAGAGTTTCTCAAAATACAATTGTCAAGAAAGTGACAATAGTTTAAGAAATATTATAAAAATTGCATTTTTAGTAAATAAATTAATAAACAGTTATTTATAATTTGACATAATAACTAATTGTACTAGTAAAAATCATCAATTAGTAAATGATCGATAAATAGAATTACAGTACCCTCACATATTCAAATCAAGAATAAGTATTTAAAATATCATCTTTAAAATCTAAATTCCTAAGAAATATTGCTAATTGAAGTTTAATTAGTACTTGTAGCTTATTTCCTCTAGTTTGAAAAACTGCATTATTTTGTAAAACTAATGCTAGTTTGTTAAACTGTTGTCTTTCTATTTGTACAACTTTTTTAAAACGTATCATCATATAATGGTAATATTTTATGATACCAATGTTGAGACTTAGTAATATGATTTTGAAAAGCAAGATAAAGAAGATAAAACAATTCAGAAAAGTCATTTATTTCTTATATTGTTAATAATGTTAAAGCAAAAGAAGACAAAAAAACGGAACAGATCTTCTGTTCAATTTACACTATTTTTTGATTGACTAAAAAAATTTTTATAAAGAACAGGCCTAGAAACAGTTTAAGGTTCCCCTACTGGGAAAGATGTTTTTTCCGTGTCTGGACACGTGACTTATTTTATTACTACTTTTGTAAATCATCGATTCCTGTTCATCATCCCCGATACCACTTTTGATACACCAAATATAATTCTTCTATCATATAAGTAACCATGATAATGAAGATCGATTACGTATTAAAATTCTGAAAAACGCGTTTCTTGTTATTGTTGTCAAATAATTAATTACATATCGATCCTGTACAACCAACGGCAAAAATATTAATTTCGGTAACTTTTTTATTTATTAAAAACTAAGTAAAATATAAATTTGTTATTATAGAACTTTAAATTGTTATAATCAGTTTGTGAAAAAAATTAAATATTACAGAATAATATTGTGCATACATTCTTTTCAAAATAGTCGCACGACGTCTCTTTGAAAAACACATAGAATGTCGATCACAAAATTTTGAGAATTTACATTCAACTCCGCTTTTTGGTGTAATAGTAGCCAAATATGTTATAAATATATTTTTTTTTTTTATTTTTTTTATTTTTCTATCCGGTTGAAAATGATTTTTTTTTTTTTTGGTTTTACTCGGGAATAGCTCAGTGAAATCTTTTTGTTTTTAGGCAACTACTTTTGGTAATTATCGGAGTTGGGAATTCCAAGTTTTTTTTTAGATTACTCAGTTATGACTCAGAGATTTTGAACATTTAAAAGTACAGAATTTTTCTTCGAGTTTTTAAAAAAAAAAAATTTAAATCATAAAAAGAAAAAAGGTATCAAATACTCGATTGACACAAATCTTTTATTAATTGAATTGTTGATCATTATTCATCCCTTCTACAAAACACGTACTTTTTCAAAATGCAATATCCTAACGAACCGAACTTTGATAGTTCTTTCACAATTATTTCACGTAATTCTCAAGACCATAACGTTACAAGTGGCAATGGCATGCAAAATCCTTCGACTTCTAATGATGAGTTCATTTCTCACATGGAATTTATACCGTTCAATAGCGAGCAACAACAAAATCGTAACGATAATACGCTTATGCAACCGATGACCCCAAGTCAAGCTGTTCAGATAATTCAAAATTTTCAAACACCACCTATGGAATATCCTCAAGAGAGTGTTTGTATGGCTAGGCATTCATTCTATTATAGTCCTTGCAATGATGATCACATTTATCATATCATCTGTGAAGAGACAGACTTTTATGAAGTGATTTCTCACTTGATAAATAATTTCCTGTACTCTTCTCATTCAACTCATTCATATATATTTTACTTTCAACAACCTAATGATAAAAGAATCTATCAAGTATCATGTGAAATGATCAATATTTATGTCGGTGAAATCAATCAAAATGAACAGCAGCAACGTGTGGAATTTTCTAATGAACTTCGAGAAAATCTCGAATTTTATTTGAAACAGAATTTAGTTAATTATTTGGCACCAAAAGATGGATTATTTATGAACGATGAAATATGATATTTTGGACATTCAAAACGATGTAAATTAATTTTCATACCTTTTTATTATTGGAAATTATATTAAGGGTAAAAATTTAGTTTGTATTATATTTTATATATTTATATGACATTAAACTATTATTGACAAATATGTTTTCTTGATTTGGAATATATATATGTATATGTATACACACATTTTTAATTTACTAATTATTAAATTAGTTCAATTATCTTGCGATAGATTTTCGAAATCTTTTTATAACAAAATTTTATCATATTCTTGTTTCCTTAGCGGGCGCATCCCTCATTATTACCAAGTCTTACGATTAGGAAGTTTTAACTCGATATATTAGAATCAATTTAAGCAAAATCTGTAAAGTTTTATTAATTCTTACCAAATACGTTCTTTTCATTGATAACATGTAATCAAATAAAATGGGGGAACAAATTTTTTTTTTTTCATCATTGAAAGTAGGCACATTAAAAATGTTAAATATTTCATAATCTACGTATAAAATATTGTGAATAAAAATTTCTCATTTTCGTTCTTGCTTTTTTATCATTTCAATGACATATAAATCGTAACTGTACGGGTTGCGGTACTTCAGACTAGAGGTTGGAACCGGTTTTATTTTCACAAACCGGCTTTAAACACTTTTTTAAATTTGAGACCCGGATTTAAACCCAATTTAAATAAAACCGATTAAACCGGGCATAAACCCGAATTGCTATAAATTTTATAATGCAATATAATATTAATAAAAAAATTTTTTTTTTTTTTTTTGATTTTTATTTAGTTTTTTATTAAAAAAAAAAAAAATATTAAGCTAATTACATGTTTAAATGATTGATAAAAATTAGATATCTTGAGAAAAATATTAAAAAGGATTACTATGCTTCTTTAAAAATAAAACTTGATTCAATATAATTGTCTACAGAAGTGCAAGGAATGGATAAATATTTGATGAGATAAAATATAAAGCTTTTGTTTACCTCGCTCCACTTTTAAAGGACCTTCCGTAATGTCTATTTGCTGAATTTCTAACTAAATTTGAATGTAAAATTCATTATAATCGCACAAAAAAAACATGCAAATTCATAATTGCACCCTAAAAGAAAAAAAAATTTGAATCGTCTGTCATAAAATTAATCTTTTAACGCATTGTAGGAATTTGATTTTTAATGCATAAAAACAGGTTTAATGTGATCATCTAACTTCTACTAAATGACGCATCATTTATTTTTTAAATGTTATTTTTAAGAATTATATATTTGACCGATTTATTAAAACCGGATTTCGAATTTCTAAGAACCAGACCCAGTTTATGTTGCAACCGGTTTAAACCGAATTATACTTCAGAAATATCAAAAAAAAAAAAAAAAAGAAAAATAATATAACTTCGTTTCTAAAATCACATGACTAAATATTGAGCGGTCAAAACAATTAATCTTTATACAAAGCTTATAACTATCCGTTAATAAGGTTGAAACTATCTCTAATTTATAGCCATTCACGGAGAGTCCGTTCAGATTATACATGATAAACCAGGTATTCCGATTTTATTTGGCTTATGTGTGCAAT